CCAATAATTGATCGAATTCTTAATAAATTTAATCAATAGCTTCACATATCATATAACAAAAAACTGTCTCTATATATGCTTCCACATATACTCTAGTTAAATATGAGATAAAGCACGACAGAATAAATTAAACTGTCACTGTCACCATGCCAATAAAAAAAATACTTTTGCAACTAATATACATACAAAATAAACAAAGAAAAAACCTTTTTTATATTTTTGTATTACATGGGTAAAGCACTAATTAATTATGAATTTCACGACATGCAATTAGAACATTTCGCATTTTTTCACGCACTCAGGTATCATATTGCAATCTAATTTTACCCAATTAACCAAATATTCAAAAAACACGTTCTCTGCCATTATATCATTTGGTATTAAACTCTTGAATATAGTAGCGATATGTTTACGAGTACATTGTGTAAAAATACGGAACCAATATAGACGTAAGTGCTTCTTAGCGTTTGTATTAATAAATATGTTCTTCTTGATAATTGTAATTTTCTTGCTATAATTAGAATACACAAAATACATATTATTAGACAATATGCAGGAATTCCACCATGTGAGATACATTACACGTACACATATACATATTTCAACGTACATCGCTCTAAATGACTAAAATCATTAACAGGATACCATTTAAGTAATCCGTAGTTCCTGCATATATTTTTGGGATATATGGAAAACTTAGTAACAATTTCACAATATGGTATAATACTGCAATACATTCATCAATGTTTTTAAAGGCAAGGCATAATAATAAAGAGGTAATTTCTTATCCCCAACGTCCCATGTAATCTCGTTAAAACGATCAGTTATACATTTGTCAGTTCCGACTTCGATTTGTCGCACGATTAGAAAGTGTAAAAAAGTTTCGATAAAATTTACGTCTTCTGAAAAACCCTATCTCCTTGATGGTGTGTGCGTAATAAAATTGCATAGCAGGAATCAAAGTATCAATATTAAATAGCTGTTCCAAGAAATGGATTTGGTCTGGCAAATTGATTTCAGATATATATTTAATTAATTTCACAATTTCCCAACCTACAAAGAAATTTTCAAAAATTAAATTAGATAGAATCAACTGTCCTACAATATATTATAGTATATTACATCATAAGATATTTTCGGTAATATTAAAGATTTTGTATAAAATAAGCATACGATTTTTCCTAAAAAAATTGTTATTATATTTGTATCATTTATATTAATGTACCAAGATCACATTGTGAAGATTTTAGTAGGAAGATTATTCTCCTTCCGAAAATTTACATTCCTTAAAACGTACTATCCATTCTGACTCAGAATTTATCTGAATTTCACATGTCGCTAATTGTAACAATTTTATAATTTTTATCAGTATTTTTTCATTTTCCCAATTTTGCAAATGGAGTAGAATTGATCTAACAAACTTTTAAATTTGCCTATGTCATCTATCGCTTCGTTAATATAGCATAAATTAATAGTAATACATAAAACAAGATACTGAAAATATATTATTAATCGTTAAAATAATTGCTATAGAAAGGTAGAATATTTTATAAGATAAACACATCAACAATTGTCGCAAACGTGGTTGATTTGCCAATAAATACTTTGCTATGTGGAAGAAATTATGTTCTATAAGAAACCATTTCACATCTTCAAATACGCTCTGCTTTGATAAAAAATTCAGAATATATTTCATGTGATACATATCGCCTCCATGAAAACGAAGACAACGGCAAATATTGTAATTTAAGTCTTATAGTATTACACTGATTGTATACAGCCGTGAATGTGTGTGACTGTAACAGCATTAATGTAGTTTGCTATATTAATAAAAACCTTTTCAATGATATTTTTGCAATTACAGATTGCACTTTTCGAATTCAGTTTTATCTAAATAATATGTATCTAAACTAATCATTTTTATCTAAACAATCAATTATATATCTTAAAAAAGTTATCGAGGGATCAAACAATATTATATCAAACTTATCAATATTTTTCATTCGTATACAGCACACATTATAAATTCTAATGATAAATACTATAACTATAATGATAAATTCGTAATAAAATGATTACACGTTTCATCACTCACTCGTATATGCTTGTAAGATAATGAATTGTGAGAGAGCAACAGAGAAAGATATTATTTTATGTTCGGCTGATTTTCAAAGCATAGAATAGAGTCTCGCAATACTATTGTATATGTATATTTAGATATTTTTATTATTATAGCATTAGAAATCCAGATGTATCACACATTTGACTATTATTAAAAATGTTAGAAAGATTTTTTCACAAAATATTGTGTTTTTTTTTTACGAAAACATAGTAATAAAGAGTTTGTTAATAGAAAAAAATTACCTCGTTTACTAGGTCTAGGTCAAAAACCATGTATTTCAATAAATCGATTGTAATTGTATTTTCCCAAGGAAATTTGTAGATACATTTTGCTTTAAAATTTTCTTCACGTAGTGAAGAAAATCTTTCCTCTTCCTGAAATAATCTTTCTGCCTCTTCTTGAAGGTCTGCCTCCAAGATTATTAAACCGTCAAATGAATTATCAGTTTCGTCCAAAATTTCTATCATTATCTCATCCGCCATTGCAATTAATTTTTTTTGATATCTGCTCGACCGTCTTTCCTTCAAAATCTATACGTAGCGCGTAATTTTAGTAATTAAATCTGTAACATCTGACTAATCACTTATATCACAATGATTATATTATACTAATTACTAAAAAAAATTGATATGACATTTTTCCAACAAAGTGTTAAGAAGACTAACGGTTATAGGATATTATTCAAGTATGTGATCTCATTCTTGTCTCTCCTTGAAACATGTTATTAAATGTTAAGTAAAAAAATATGTATTTTTATTTGTGTATTTATATTTTTATATGCCTAATCTCAAGTTTAAGTGTTGTATACATGAACTCCGCAATATGAGATATATGTTACATGTACACATATACATATGCTATTTTATAAACGTACCTTGTTCTAAATACTTAACATCATTAATATCATTAATTAACATGATACCTACTATTTAAGTAATTTCGAGTGCCTCCATATATTTTTAGAACATACCACAAAATCTCAATAAGTTTTCACAATACGGCATAATGTTTCAATATCTTTATTACCTTATTACTTTATTTTAAATAAAATTTGAATTAACAGAAAATCCCAATTTATTCGATGCAACCACGTTAAAACGATTATCAGTTATATAATTGTCAATTCTGACTTGCATTTATCGCATAATTATATTTCGATATATAAATATTGATAAACACGATTTTTTTATAAAAATTCTTATATTAAATTAATAAACTTATATATTAAATATAGAACGTATTTCAATATTTCTTTGACGGTTTTATTAATTTTTTCCTTTTTAATTTTTTATTAAATCTTGAACTTACAATAATAAAATTTATATTACATTTGATGAATTACCAATTATAATAAGATGCCCAATTTTTTCCCTTTAATATGACCTCTTATATATAGATTAATATTTGCATTTGGAATAACAGTCAAAGTAACAGATTCGAGAATAATCATGTGAGCTTGTATTTTGAAATAAAAAAAACACAAGCTGAGTAAAAAAACGTATCTTAAACTTTTTCGTCGCAATATCGATGTTATTATTGAATTACACGGACTTCAATTATTATTAACACGTGGTTCGCTAAAGTTATTCTCTTTCTTCAATCATCGCAGTGCTTAATTACGAGTGTAGAAATAATCACATTTTATAATCAATAATCACAACTTCTCTTAACAGACGATTTATTAAATAAAAATACAATATTGTCATAAATACGTCAATCAATTCTTGTCCATACATATACAATTGCAAACGCTTCTACAATTAAAATAAAATACGAACATAACTTTATTTTTATTGTGATATATTGTTGCGCTTTATACTATATTATTATATTATATATGTCGTGTATTATATTAAATATATATATTATATATATACATTATAAAATTATAATATACATATCAAATATGTATATAAATAATACATATAACACACACATACGAATTATATAATATTATATTTATATACATATATAATATATATACAAAAGTTATCACATTATTTATAATATGTGTGTATATAAACATTTATCATACTATTAAAAAATTTCCTTCCATTTCGCTATTCACATCGATTGAGTATTGATAGTGAAATTTTAAAGAAATTAGAACACACGGTCATGTTTTATGCAAAGTACAAGCGAAGCTACCGCATATCCGCATAGTACGAATATTTTATATTATTTTATTCCAATAATTGATCGAACCCTTATAAATTTAATCAGTAGCTTCACATATCATATAACGAAAACTGTCTCTATATGTGCTTTCACATATTCTCTAGTTAAATATGAGATAAAACACGACAAAATAAATTAAACTGTCACTGTCACCTTGCCATAGAAAAAAAAATACTGTTTGTCAAGTAATATCATACAAATACAAAGAAAAGACCTTTTTTATATTTTGTATTACCTGGGTTAAAGCACTAATTAATTATGAATTCATGACATGCGATTAGAACATTTTTCATTTTCTCACACAACTCAGGTATCATATCGAAATCTCGTTTTATACAATTAGCTAAGTATCAAAATTTTCGTCCCTTTTTCATTAATTCCATCAATATATATCCAATCTGTTTACAAGTATATTGTCTAAAAATATGCAACCGATAATATTCAATGCTCCTTTAACTTTTGCATTAATAAATATTGTCTTCTGATAACTGTAGTTCTTTCGCCTATAATTAGAAAATACAAAATACACATTATTAGACAACTATATACAGAAATTCCGCAATGGAGATACATTACACGTACACATATACATTTTCAATGTACCTCGCTCTAAAATGACTAAAATCATTAACAGAAGACCATTTAGTAATTTGTAGTTCCTCATATATTTTTGGGATATATGGAAAACTTAGTAACATTTTCACATATGGTATAATACTGCAATACATTCATCTATGTCTGTTAAAAGCATGGCATAAAAATATTGATGTAATTTCTTATCCCCAACGTCCCATGTAATCTCGTTAAAACGATCAGTTATACATTTGTTAGTTCCGACTTCGATTTGTCGCATGATTAGAATGTGTAAAATAGTTTCGATAAAATTTACGTCTTTCGAAAACCTTAACCCACTGCTCTCCAGTTGAATCTGTGTGTAATATAATTGCATAGCAGGAATCAAAGTAACAATATTAAATAGCTGTTCCAAGAAATGGATTTGGTCTGGCAAATTGATTTCAGATATATATTTAATTAATTTCACAATTTCCCAACCTACAAAGAAATTTTCAAAAATTAAATTAGATAGAATCAACTGTCCAACAATATATTATAGTACATTACATCATAAGATATATTTCGGTAATATATAAAGATTTTGTATAAAAATAGGCATACGATTTTTCGTAAAAAATTGTTATTATATTTGTATCATTTATATTAATGTACCAATACGACATTGTGAAGATTGTAGTAGGAAGATTATTCTCCTTCCGAAAAATTTACATTCGTTCAAACGAACTATCCATTCTGACTCAGGATTTATCTGAATTTCACATGTCGCTAATTGTAACAATATTATAATGTTTGTTAATACTTCCTGATCCCCTTCGCTCTTTTGCAGATAAGATAAGATTATTCTAATAAATTCTCTGCTTGTGGCTATTTCATCTATCACTTCGTTAATATAGCATAAATTGATAGTAATACGTAAAACAAACTTCTGAAAATATATTATTAATCGTTAAAATGATTGCTATAGAAAGGTAGAATATTTTATAAGATAAACTTATCATACAATTGTCGCAAAATATGGATCATTTTTCAATAAATACTTTGCCATGCAGAAGAAATTATGTTCTATAAGAAACAATTTCACATCTTCAAATACGCTCTGCTTTGATAAGAAACACAGAAAAGAATTCGTGTTATTAAGATCGAGTTTCTGAAAACAAAGACAACGGTAAATATTGTAATTTAAGTCTTATAGTATTACACTAATTGTCTACAGCCGTGAATATGTGTGACTGTAACAGCATTAATGTAGTTTGCTATATTAATAAAAATTTTTAATAATATTTTTACAATTACAGATTGCACTTTCCGAATTCAGTTTTCTAAACAATCGAATATATATTGAAAAAAAGTTATCGAGGAATCAAACAATATTATATCAAACTTATGAATATTTTTCATTCATATACAGCACGCATTGCATTAATGATAAATTCGTGAAATAAAATGATAAGATAAATAAGAAAGTAACAGAAAAAGAGAATATTTTATGTTCGACTGATTCTCACAGCAGAGAATAGAATCTCGTAATACTATATATGTACATTTAGATATTTTATTATAGCATTAGAAGTACCAAATCTATTATATATTTGATTATTATTAAAATGTTAGAAAGATTTTTTCACGAAATATTGCAGTTTTTTTTACGAGCGTAAAACATAATAATAGATTTGTTAATAGAAAAAATTACCCCGTCTTCTGGGTAAAAATCTGATCTTTCAATTTATTGATTATATATATCCTATCCAAGGAGGTTCGCCAATATATTGTACTTCCTCATATATTTCCTGATGTGATACTTCGAGTACTTCCTCACATAATTGATCTAACTCTTCCTCCTCACTGTCTGCAGCATTTGTTGAACTGTCAGTTTTGTCCGAATTTTCTATTATTATCTCATCCGCCATTACAATTAATTTTATTTTATATCTTTTCGACCGTCTTTCTTTTAAAATCTAAACGTAGCGCGTAATTTTACATCTAACTGGTCACTAAAATCGCAATGATTATATTATACTAATTACTAGAAAAAATTTGATATGACATTATTCTAACAAAGTGTTAGAAAGACTAATTGTAAAAGAATATTATCCAAGTGATCTCAATCCATGTTTATCCTTGAAACATGTTATTAAATGTTAAAGTAAAAAAAATATGTATTTTTATTTGTGTATTTATATTTTTATATGCCTAATCTCAAGTTTAAATGTTGTAATCCTTTTGAAAAAATCAATAGACTACGTTTTATCTCCCATCGTTTAAGAAATGTCATTATCACCATTTTGAAAGATTTTTTTTTTCTGCTACAAGATTGTACCAAGTTTTATAGCTGATTTTAACAACATTTGATATGACACATATTACATATATGAGAAATATGAGCATATTGGTGAAATAATCGAAAATATATGTAATATGTCACAAAATATAATATGTGAAATAAGAACATTAACCGAATTATATAATAAAACTACTTTATTGATATAAATTATGTAATAAGACTAGATATGAATGATAATATACAATATTCACATTGAATAAGTACTTTAAAAATTGTGTCATCAAATTTCGTGTTACATAGGTTCAGCATTAATTAATTACGGATTTGCTTTAATGCAATAAATGGCTTCCACTAATTTTTTTCATGTATCTAGTGTCATATTACAATCTGTAGATTTATTATATTCAATAGTCTAGTCATTTTCTAATATTAATTGATATTAAACTCGTCAATATATAAGGAAAAACTATACAAAACAAAAATATTTTATTTTAGAAATACATGCAAACTATGGTAATTTTTGCAATGTGGTCAGTGTATCTTTATTATTTTAACGATGTCCACTTTTGCCCACGTACGTTGCAAAATGTCAAGTGTTACGTGGCGAAAAGCTATATTAATGCGTTCTTTGAGTTCAAATGGTGAACGTCTCGAGGTTATTTAGACATTTTCCGAAACATTGGATTGGACACGATAGTCCTCTCCGGATATTATCCTGTGTGATTTCTATTTTCATCAAGAGCATTGTCTAAAAAAAGTAAATGTGTCTCCTTCATTGAAATCAAAGCATTAATACATATTCCATCCGATTATCAGCGTACGTGGATGCATCATTTGTCTAGACATCCTTCAAATAACTAATGAACGTACGTTGAGATACACTGATCATGTTGTGAACAATTTCTTTAGTTCACAAATACTTCAGAAATCAAATTTCATTGTTTGATATTATACTTTTCCTTTTACAGCGCAATAAAATTGCACAATTTATTTACGAATATTTTGTATAATATAAAATACAATATATAGTAATTTAATAAAAAAAATGATCATGTTGCTTAAAAAAAAGACATATTATAGGTATTTACTTTGTTAACATTTATTCTCCCATTTACTCATACAAAATGTTAAAACTATGTCAGAATTTTAAGAAATTAAAATACATGATCATGTTTTATGTCAACTTCAAGTGCAAAAAAAAATGCAAAGCTAAAGTATACGCAAATCGCCTAGTTATGAATTGAGATTATTTTATTTCAGTAATTCACAGAGGTTTTGATAAATCAAAAATCGATAGTTTCAGATATTATTACAGAAACTCTCTCCCTCTCCCTCTCTCTCTCTCTCTCTCTCTCTCTCTCTCTCTCTATCTCTCGATGTACCTTTGTGTAAGTCTTCTAGTTAAAAAGAAAAAATTTGTTAAATTGTCATTGTCTCCATTTTTATGTATGAAGAATAATTATGTAATTAATAAATACAAAAAATATTAGATAAAAAAGATCTTTTTTTATATTCTCTGATTTCTGATAAAAGATTGCATTACTATTAGTATAATATTTTGACGATGAGAGATGCGAAAAACATGTATCTAAAAATATTTGTAAAATAATCGAGATTATGTACAAATTGTTACAAAGTATAATACGTATTGAAATTAGAATTATATTTCGAACTCTGTAATTAACTTGATATATTAATACAAAAGTAATTCATTAGTATATTAATAAATAGCGACTATATAATTTAATAATGCTAGCTATGACAAGTAAAATTACACAGATATATATATTTGTAAAATAATCAAGATAAACAAGTTATGAAACAATAAGAATAAAAATTAGAATTATATTTCGAATCTCTGTAGTGAACTTGGTATGTTAATACAAAGCGATCGATAAGAATAATTATATACTTAATTAATACCATAAAAAATACAGAAAAGGATCTTTTTCGCAATTTTGTATTATATTAATTAAACATTAATTATTAATTTCATTACATGCAATTATAACATTTTTTATTTTTTCATACAACTCAGGTATCATACTGCTATTTAACGAGAAATCGTGGTCGGATCGACGTGAAAACGATGTCGATTCAACTTTTATTTTTCGCAGAGTATCTAATATTATATGATTAAATAAACATTCAAAAACCACATTCTCTGTTATTATATCATTTAGTATTAAACCCTTCAATATAATAGCAATATGTTTACAAGTATATTGTTTAAAAATTTCGAACCAATATAAACTTAAGAGCTGCTTTAGCTTTCGCAATAATAAATATGTTTCTCTTGGTAACTGTAGTTTTTTTGCTATAATTGGAATACACAAAATACACATCATTAGACAACTATATACATGAACTCCGCAATATGAGATATATTACATGCATACATATACATATGCATATTTACACGTACCTCGCATTAAAATGACTAATATCATTAACATGATACCATTTAAGTAATCCAGAGTTCCTCCATATATTTTTGGAACATACCGAAATCTCAATAACATTTCCACAATACGGTGTAATGTTATAATATTTATCTTATTAATTCTTAAAACTGAAAAATTAATAGGAAATACCAATAATTTGTTTGATTCAACCACGTTCAAACGATTATCAGTTACAGTTGTATCAATTCTGTTTTGTATTTGTGGGACAGTTAGTAACCGAAATATTCTTTCGATCAAAGTTACGTCTTTCATAATAGTGGCGGATAACTGCCTAGTGAACTTCGGTATACTGCACGTGTAAGATTGCAGAGCAGGAATCAACTTATGAACATCAAATAGTTGTTCTAAAAAACTGATTTGTTCTCGCAAATTTATTTCAGATATAGATTTCACCAGTTGTATTAATTTTATACCTATAAAGAAGTTTTCAAAAGTTGAACAGAATCAATTCTCTTATATTATAATGTATTACATTTTAATAATATAATATTGATAATTACGTGTAACACAATATTTTTTAAAAAATTCTTATATAATTAATTTCGTTTATATTTGTATTATTTATATATTAAAGTAATACCAGTAAAATAATGTGAAGATTCTAGTAAGAAGATTATTCTCCTTCCAAAAAATTTACATTCCTTGAAACGAACTATCCAGTCTGACTCAGAATTTATCTGAATTTCACATGTCGCTAATTGTAACAACTTTATAATTTTTCTCAGTATTTTTCCATTTTTGCAATTTTGTAAATATAACAGAATTGATCTAACAAAACTTCTGGATTTGCCTATGTCACCTATCACTTTCTTAATACAGCACAATTTAAGAATAATATGTAAAGTATAAATCTGAAATTATAGTATTTCTTAAAATAACTTTAACTGTTATAAAAAGATCGAATATTATAAGATAAATACGTATATCATACTGTCTCATGCAATTGAGGTTGTGGATTTGTCAAGAAATACGTCGCTATATTTAAGAAATTATGTCTTAGAAGAAATAATCGCACATCTTCATGTACGCTCTCCTTTGCGAATTGTTTGAGAACTTCCTTTATTAACTTTTTTTGATTAACATTTCTCTGAAAACGAAAGCAATGACAAATATTGTAATTTTACATCTTATATCGTATTTATAATATACACATATATAAAACTAATTAAGTATACAGTCGTGAATAATTGTATCAGTAACAATATTAATGTAGTTTGCTATTGATAAAAAATTGTTCAGTTATCCAATTATAGATTGTACTTTCCCAATTCAAATTATCTACAGAATAAAAAAGATATCAAAGGACCCAACATTATTATTATAAATCTTCTGAATATTTCTTATTTATATAAGGTATACACCGGGCACTAATTCTTTATAAATACGTGAAATGAAATGGTTGCGCGTCCACTCACTTCATATATGATAAGATTCATAAGATAAATGAATAATGAGAGAGGAACAGAGAGAGAATACTTTATATTCGGCTAATTCTCAACGCATATAATAAAACCTCGCAAAACTGTACATATATTTTTTTATATATTTTTAATATAAATTTAACAGTACTTAATTTATTATACATATTTGACTATTATATATTTAAAAAAAAAAAAAAAAAAAAAAAAAATATATATATATATTATATATTATTATATATATATTATTTATTATTATATATTTATTATTATATTTATTTATATATATATTATTATATATTATTATATATTAAAAGGTTAGAAATAATTTTCCACGAAATATTGCTGCTCCTTTTTGACGAGCGAAAAGCATAATAATAAAGAGTTTGTTAACGCAAAAAGTTACCTCAAGTGTGCCAAAAATCAGATTTTTCAAATCGTTGATGACATTCAACCATAGTTCCCCTTTTATAGGAGGTTCGCCAATATATAGATTCTCATAATCTAACTCTTCCTCCTCAATGTCTGAAGAATTTGTTGAACTATAACTTTCGTTCAAATGTTCTATAATTATCCTATCCGCCATTGCAATAAATTTTTTCCCGGCAAAGATATTTTCTCGACAATCTTTCCTTTCAAAATCTAAACGAAGCGCGTAATTTTAGCGATTAAATCTGTAATATCTGACTGAATAATGAAGTCACAATGTGTGATTATATGATACTAATTACTATAAAGAATTTGATGTTACATTCCAACACAGTGTTGGGAAGACTAACTATTAGAACAATATTGTCCAATGGTATAATCTTAATACTTGTTTCTCCTTGAAATATGTTATTAAATATTAAAGTCAAAGAGATACATTTTAATTTGTGTGTTTATGTGTCTATGCCTCAAATTTAAATGCTACAACGCTTTTTCAAAAATCAAGGGACAACATTTTTCTTCCTAATATATAAATTTACCTAATATATAATCGAAAATGTATGTGCAAATATAATATTTGAAATAAAATAATGTAATAACGATAATAATAAAGATAAAATAATAACATAAGTCATACAGTGAACTTGCTTTATTCATATGAATTATGTAATAAGACATTGATATAAATTATATGATAAGCACATTTAATAAGCGCGTTAAAAAAGGTTTCATCAAAATTTCATATTACATACATTATATAGATAAAACATTAATTGTTTACTTAATTAGATAGAGCATTATATAGATAGAGAATTAATTAATTAATTACAAATTTTCTTTAATACAATACAAGTTTGCACTAATTTTTTACATATCTCTGGTGTAATATAACAATTTGTACAAAATTTATTATATTCAATAGCCCAATCATTACATGTATTTCTGAAATAAAATTCATTGTTGATATTATTTTTTTACAGCGCAATGAATTGTACACTTTATTGATAAACATTTTGTAAAATATGATATAATGCAATATTAATACTAAAAAATTAGTGATACTTGCTTAAAAAATATATACTATATATACTATATAAATATATATTTATATTTTATGTATGTACATACCTTTTTATATGCACATACTATAACTAATATATTTACTCTCCCATTTACTCATACAAATGGTTTAAAATGTCTTTTAAAAAGAAATTAAAACATAATCATGTTTTATGCCAAATTCAGAATAAAATGCTGAATAAAACAAAGCTAACGAAATTATCTCTCGATGCGCTCTTATGTGTCTTCTAGTTAAAGAAAGAGACAAAACTTGTCAAAGAAAAAATGTTTTCAATTGTCATTGTCATTATTTTTATATATAAAAAATAATTTTGCAATTAATAAATACAAAAAAGTATAAGATAAAAAAGATCTTTTTTTCTTTACAACGCCATAAATACTAATTATAATATAATATAATCTAATATCATTTAATAAAATTAATTATATATGTATACACATACATATAATGTATATAAAATACTAAGAGCGCGTCTGTGCAATAATCGAAGTTACGTATATGTGCGACGTCACAAAATATGATAAGAATTGAATTTAGAAATACATTTCGAGCTCTACCATACATTTGATGAATAAATACAAAGCAGTTAATAAATAATAAAATAAACATAATCTTTCATAATTTCGCAATTCTGTATTATTTGTATAAGTACAACATTAATTAATTATGAATTTGATTAAATACAATTATAGCTCCCTCTACTCTTCGAACTCTGCGGTATACACACACACACACACACACACACACACATTTGTGTATTAATAAAAAGCAATTATAATAAATAGATAGCAAACATATAAAAGTTTAGTAAACATAATCTTTCATAATTTCGCAATTTTGCATTATACGTATCAGCACAACATTAATTAGTTATGAATTTTGATTAAATACAATTATGGCTTTCTCCACTTTTTTACGCATCTGAAATGTCACATTGTAATCTGATCGTACAAGATTCATTAAATATTCAAGAACGTCGTCAACTTTTACTATTGTACTTTGTATTAAATTCTTCAATATGTGTCCAATTTGTTCACAAGTATAATGTGCAATAATATGTAACCAATAGTGATATAACAACTTCTTAAATGTTTGGAAATGTATTTCATTTTCTCCGTAATACAGTTCACCTGGCATGATTAAAATTTATATATCATATTATTACACAACTATATGTATTAATTTCACAATATGAGTTATATTATACATACACTCATATAATATAAAATTTATGTAAAATTGTGTATGTAATTATGATATAAAATATATTGTGCAATTTTATTTTTGTACGTACCTCTATTTAAAATAACAAGTATTGTTAAAAATATACCATTTAAAAAATTTATTATGCCTCCATAAGTTTTAGTTTTGGGTATATAACGAAGTTTAAATAACATATTTAAAATACCGTATAATAGCTTAATAGGTTCTAAATCTATTTCTGTAAGTTCATGTGTGTAATGTGAATCTGGTTCATTATTATAAACACGTATATTCTTATTTCCACAAGTGCTCGCTTTATTCAAATGCCACGTATGAAAAAACTGTCTATAAGTCCCGATATGCTTAGTAATAAATTCGTTCACATCGGTATCTCTTCGATTTTGGCGCATGTCTATACGTCGTAGCCAGAGTTTGATCCACTCTGAGAGATTAGATTCAGTGATTTCGAATATAGTCCTCGTTCTATATAAATAAGATAATAGCAGCAAATGAAATAGTTTATCAAGATCAAATAGTTGTTCCAAAAAATTGGTCTCGTCTGGTAAATTTATCGAAAACATAGATCCGATTAAACGCATTATCATTACACCTACGAAGACATTTTTGAATATTAAATTAGATGAAATCAATTCTTATAGAATATATGATTATGTATTATATTATTATAAGTATATTACATTTAGTAAAATGTAAGAATTTTATTTCAGAATATATAAATACAAGATTTATCATATAAAATTCTCATGTAAAAAGTTTTGTTTATATTTCTATGTATGTATTAAAATATATGCGTATATATATATATATATATATACCAGTTGTATTGTTGGTTACAAAAGTGAATCTGTGTTCAATACCAAATTGTAGAAGGAACATCATTCTGCTCGCGAAAAAAATACATTCCTTGAAATGAACTATCCAATCTGACTCAGAATTTCTATAAATTTCATACGTCGCTAATTGTAACAATTGTATAACTGTTATTATTATTGTTTCCTTATAACAATTCTTAAGAAAACTCAAAATTGTTCTGACGAAAACTTTGTTTTTGCTTATTATGTTTATGATTTCATTATTATAGCATAATTTGATGGTAATCTTTAAAATATTCATCTGTGAAAATATATTATCAATTATTAAAAAATTGCTTTAGAAAAATTAAATATTATACAAACATCGATAAATGTATTAATACACAAGAATATACGATTATACTTATATGTACAATTATCTTGTAATGCCGTTTTTTCTGCAATAAATAGATTGCTATATCCAAAAAGTTATGTTTCATAAGATACACTTTTACATCCTCATATGTACTCTGCTCTACTAAGAAATTCAGAACATTCTTTATTCGTGTAATATTGTTTTTATAGCAATCATATTGCTGAAAAAGAAAATAATAAAAATAATGTAAGTCTTATAAAACGTAAAACAAATTAAGGGCTGTGAATAATTCCATCGATAATTAATTAAAAAATGAAGTATAGTTTACTATTGATAAAAAAATGATTTTTCAATATTAATTATCAAATTATAGATTGCATTTTTTCAATATCTACAATTTATCTACACAACTAAATATTCGTATTAAAAAGTCGTCGAGGGATGGAACAGTATTATTATCAAACTTGTCAATATTTTTTAATCATATACAACACACATTTACTGGTTAAAGGACCATAAGATTAATGAGTAATAAGAGAGGAAGAACGTAGAGGATACTTATATTCGTCTAATTCTCAAAATATATAATTAAATCTTGCAGTATTATATTAAATATTTTTATTATATTATTAAAGGGAAGAATTAAATTTAATAATACATTTAAATGTATTATTAAAAATATTAGAAATATATATTTTCCATAGAACATTGCTCTGAGCAAAAAGCAGAACAGCGAAGAGTTTGTAAGTGAGAAAAAATTACCTCAGGTTTGTAAAAAGTCAAATTCATCAGTTCGTTGATTTTCTCTTCGCCTATCCAAGGAGGTTCACCTATCTGCGTATCTGACTCTTCCTCGTCAATCTTTTCTATAATTATCTTATTCGATATTGTGATGGGTTTTTTCTGATACATTTTAAGGCGAAATTCGCAAAATCTCCTCGTTAACATTTAATAGCTGAAGGTGACGTTCAACTTTAAGTGATTAAATTTTTATCCAACCAAGCGAGAAAATCGCAATTATGATATAATACTAATTACTCAATTCGCAAGCACAAAGAATTTGATACGACATCATTTGAACGAAATCGAAAGACTAACTAACTTGAAAGAATATTATCCTAGTGTTTAACATTGACTTGATTCTCCTTGAAATATATTATAAATATATATTACTGTTTTCATTTTTCTATTTCTTTTGTATTTTGTATTTATATTTCGAATCTCAAGTTTAATGCTGTAACACTTTTCCAAAGATCGGTAGACAAGATTTTTCGTCTCTAACATATAAATATCCCCTAATATACATATTTAATCCAAAACATTCATAATAATATTTCATATTAGAGTACCTCCAATTTTATTATGTTACTAAAATGTCTTAAGTATTAAGTATTAGATACAAAATATGATTTCTTTTTCATTTTTATTTATGCTGTAACACGCTTTCTCAACGATCGGCGGACAAAACCCACATTGTACAAACAATATTTTATATTCTGCCTTGCTTGTACTTATGCAACGATAATATCTTTATATTCGCTTTACACGATATAATGAACAGAGGTATTACGATATGAAAAATGTCATAGAAAAAAATTGACATTTTAAGAAATGTTATTGCCGTGGAAAGTTTTTTATTTTTCATATAAGATTACATCAGCATTCATAGTAAATTTTAATAAGGATAGATGTAACAAATAGAATTATAATAAGATACTAATTGTAAGAGTGTGTCTGTGTACAGTGTAATAACTGAGATTATATGCGCGGCGTCACAAAATATAATAAAAATTGAATTTACAAATATATTTCGAGCTCTACTATACATTTAATGTATAAATACAAAGCAGTTAATAAATAATATAATAAACGTAATCTTTCATAATTTCGTAATTATACAACATTGATTAATTATGAATTTGATTGAATACATAATTATAGCTCCCTCTACTTTCCGGTACATTTGTGTATTAATCAAAAGCAATTATAATAAATAGATAGCAAACATATAAAAATATAGTAAACATAATCTTTCATAATTTTGAAATTTTGTATTATACGTATTAACACAACAATATAATTAGTTATAAATTTTGATTAAATACAATTATGGCTTTCTCCACTTTTTTACGCATCTGCAATGTCACATTGCAATCTGATCGTAATGAGCTCGTAATAAGAAATTCAGAACATTATTTAGTTGTAAAATATTTTTGTCACAGTAATCAAGTGGCTGAAAATGAAAATAATGAAAAATAATTTAAGTCTCATAAAATATAAAACAAATTAAGGATCATAAATAATTCCATCGATAATTAATTAAGAAATAAAGTAGTTTGCTATTGATACACAAAAATGAGTTTTCAATATTAATTATCAAATTATAGATTGCACTTTTTCAATACCATTTATCTACACAATTAAATATTCGTATTGAAAAGTCGTTGAGAGATGGAACAGTATTATTATCAAACTTCTAAATATTTCTCGCTCATATACAACATACATTTATGACCATAAGATTAATGAGTAATAAGAGAAAAACGTAGAGGATATTTAATATTCGTCTGATTCTCAAAATGTGTAATTAAATTTTGCAGTATTATATTAGATATTTTTATTATATAATTAAACAGGAGTATTAGATTTAATTATACATTTAAATGTATTATTAAAAATATTGGAAAGATATATTTTCCATAGAACAGTGCTCTGTGTGGGAGCAAAAAGCATAACAGCGAAGAGTTTGTAAATGCGAAAAAAATTACCTTAAAAAATTTATTAAAAGTCAAATCTATCAGTTCGTTGATTTTCTTTTCTAATTACTAATTATATAGTTATAAATGACTATTAGCAGAAAACTTTTCAATAAATTATAGATCAAATTATAAATTGCACTTTTTCAATATTGGCCGCACAAATATATATATATATATCCACTACAAAATCATCCAATATGTTACTAAACTACTTGTTAAACTTCTACATCATTCCTTATTTGTATATAAAAAATGCACGTTTACCCCCTTTTACCCCCCATAAAAAACGCCCTGGATGAAATCAAGGGTACTTTTCAGGATTTCATTATCGAAATAAAGGTCTCCACAAAAATTCAGCTCGCTGAATTCTATCCCGATCGCGCGAAAAAACACAAGCGCGATGCAGCTTCGTCGAATCTCTCCAAGACGAAGAAAGATCGCGTTATTTGCATCGGTAGAAGATGAACGAGCCCGCGCCGCGCGTCCCACGCTATTTCAGATTACCTCTCGTAGATCAAATCGTGAAACTTCCCCGTCGGCTTTAATGGCCCGCGCGGGATCCCGGGTCCCGGGAAAGGGAAAAAGAAACAGACATTCTCTCTCTTCTTCGCGTGTCTCTCTAGACCGGCTATTGCTCGGTGTGACTATTCGGAAGAGAATAAAAATACAAGCGATATTCGCGCAGCTTCTCTTTCACCTGGTCGGCTTAAAAAGTTGAATCGCGCACTTTCCCCGAGAGAACATGATCTCTATCGCATTTCGCTGTGTATATACAGGGTGTAACTAAATAAAGGTATACGAAGCACACTATCTGGTGCAGAACTACAAACTAAATCGAAAAGTCCTGAGCCATTTTTTAATCTGAGCTTTAGATTTCACGCTATAAACTGTTAAAGTTTGCCAATTAGCGCGTGGCTACAACGGAAAACAACGCAGGCGCCACCTACTAAAGCGTACTAAGGCGGCGCGTGACTACAACGGAAAACAGCGTAGGCGCCGCCTTAGTACGCTTTAGTAGGTGGCGCCTACGTTGTGTTCCGTTGTAGCCACGCGTTATTTGGCAAACTTTAACAATTTATAGCGTGAAAAATAAAGTATAGATTAAAAAATGGCTCAGGACTTTTCGATTTAGTTTATCGTCCTGCACCAGATGCGGTGTGCTTCGTATACCTTTGTTTAATTACACCCTGTATATGTATATACATCTGTGGGAACGCATCCTCTCTGGGAAAACGTCGTCTTGATCGAGTCCAGAAGTGAGATGCAGCGAGATCGATCGCGTCATGATGAATGTCAAAGGGGAGAGGAGGGCGGAAGGGATGTTAATTGCCATGTGCGCTCGTTAAGATTCATGCCTGTACAACTGGAATAATTGTCACGCGTATTACCTCTTAAACACATTGTTACGTAGATCCATTGCATAATGCCGCAAATGAACATGTGCCTCATTCAGCCATAATAATTAATAAATTCATTGATTAATTTGCATAATCTTCATCTGCCAATCCAAGGTATAATGTACTTTCTTGTAATGCATATTTTTTTATTTCTAGGTATTTTAAATTAAAATAATACTTGTTAATTTTAAATTAAAAAATATAGGAATTTGACATATATCCTGTAATGTCACATTTTTAGATTAATAAGCATTATTTTAATTAAACAATAATATCTACCTATAGAAATAAAAAAATATGCATTACATATTATATATATATATTATGCACCGAAAAAAATGTATTAACTCTTGACTAAACCTATCAACTAAATATTAAATGCTAATTGAACATATAAAAGTATTTAAATTAAATCTAATAAAACGTATATTTGACTTAAATATTAATATATATACAATTAACAAAATAGTAATTAAGTTGAAAGGTTTAGTTAAGTAAACAATATTCTTTTTCAGTGTATAGAAATTTTGACATACAATTGTGTACGTCACATTTTTTAATTAACAAGTATTGTCAAAAAAACAATCAAAAATGTCAAACGTGAGAATAAATATACTCTCAGTTCACGCTCTTTATCCTATTTCTCCTTAATTCTTCAAGACAAGAGAAAAAGAACTTTCGCTGTGAATTCCATCGAAATTTACAGTAGACGAGAGAATCTATCGTTTCTCTTTACTTCGATCTTATTTAATTCTCCCTCTACTCTTTTGTCCCTGTCTTATTCGATTCCCATTTCTATCAAAGTCTTGTCTCGATGTAGTTTTTTCCACATTCCTTCACCGCAGCAAAGACTTCAGTATTGAAATCATCCGTGTAATTCGGTGATATTTGAAAGGATCATGCAATAAGTACTTAGATTAATTTCTCAAGCAATCGTTTTTTTGTACTCATTTTAAAACAACTGTCACATTAATGACATTTGATTATAGTAAAAAGATAATTGAATGTAATTAAAGTAATTGAAATAAATGATGGTTCAATTATGAAAATTAAAGAGCACAAAATTCGTGAAATAATCTCTCGCCTTTATAATAATAATAAACGTATCATGTAATAGGAAATATAGATGTGCGATTTAATTGGGCAATTAAGAACGCTCGCGTGTCGCATGGGATACATTGTCGAGAGAGACGTAAGAGAGAGAAACGGAGAAGGAAGGAGAATAAGACGGAGAGACTGGCTGTTTGATAGCAAGCTGAATCCGAAGACAAGTTAGTCTAAAAGAGGGTCTAGGATGCAAACAGATGTGCAAACAACTTAAATGGAAGGCAAACACAATTATCCTAGCAGCAGTAACCGGAGATTAGTTTTCCAGGTGCAAACCAACGTACCACGCACGTACGTAGCGTGCGCGCACATTTATTTTCGCGTGTGTAAACTAAGTAAGCGAGAGCTGTGACGCGTCGGGATACGAGGGGCGACATTACAAACGCGTCTGGTTGGATCTCTCGTGATGAGAGAGCGCATAATGTCGTTGTTCCTGTCGAGAAACTTCCTGCGAGCTGCGTGATAAACCTTCCAGCGCGCGTTAACGGTAGTCAAACTATAAAGGATGTGTGTCCCTAATATCGGATCCATTTTTTCAATCTCGTATTTGGACGAATTTTGTAAAAAAATTGAATAAATCACGTGGTTTACACGGATCATTAAAATAATGTCATCAATTTCTTTTAAAATTAAAGATTATGCGTCCTAATATCGGATCCATTTTTTAATCACGTATTTGAACAAGATTTTGTAAAAAAAATTGAATAAATCACGTGGTTTACACGGATCATTAAAATATAAAGAAATTTGTTCGATAATGTCATCAATTTCTTTTAAAACTATAAAGATGTGTCCCTAATATCGGATCCATTTTTTCAATCTCGTATTTGGACGAGATTTTGTAAAAAAAATTGAATAAATCACGTG